TTAATCTGTAAAATAATATCGAATTTTGTCTGGTTTGTCATAATCGATTTCATGAATTTTTGTCCTATCTTAGAAATAATTTGTTGGCACCTTCCGTACAATTTCGCGGGCATTGGACTTTTAGTAGAAGGAAGTCACTTAACTATAGTCAGCGACTGATTTCATGAAATATTAACCAACATTTTGAAACGGATTGTCGATGAGAAAATATTTCTGAATGGGGATTGGTATTATCCTGGAGCACAATCCCAAGGTAGGTCAATCAGTCTACGTTTTTACCTTTCATATGCACGTCTTTTGGCCGCCTGTAAAAATCGCACTCGAGAAAAGCTGACTTCTGAAGTTGTTTGCATTTCTGTACCGGTACTTGATGCTCTTTTCAATTAAAATATACTTTGGAGAGAACGCAAGTAAACTATTCTTGTCGGCACTCACTTGGTTGGAAATTAACTCTCCACAATTTCTATTCAAATGAAGGACACACGTATGTTTCAACATTTTTCCCAATTTCGGAAAAACGTGAAGGCAGTTTAGCTAGAGGCTTCAGCTTACAATTTATACGCTTATGTATAAGGGCTAGTTTACATTCCCCCATATGTTATAAGGAGAATGCTATTTAGTGCTTATAAAATTCTGAAGTGAACGTAGGCTAGGCCATATACATAATGGGAAGCATTAGTACGCGCTTTGAGTGGACATTGTACAGTCCCACAAAATCTCTATTTTAAAAAGTAATTTTTCGCTGAATAAAACTGGTGGGAAAAGGCGTGCTTGCATATCTATCAAGTACAAAAAATAAAAATTTTTACCTATGCATTTCGTACGATAGATTTGGATTTCTAAGGGAATTGAAAATCAATAGCAAAAACGCATACTAATTAATTATTAATATTTTATCCAGTGCTGTTTTTGCAAGCTGCCACAAAGACATAAATTTGATCTGAAATATTCTGGGATTGTACCCCACGCAAGCATTGGTATTACAATGCCACTTAAGTAATCCCTCCACTAACAGAATTTTTGATTAAAATTTCATAAGATCCATCACTGACGTGACTCCTTAACCCTCTTAGGACGCCATCTAAACAACTTAAACACCCTTGGTGTTAACACGGGTTTCCGGTTTTCGTGGGGGTCTTTTGTTGGAGAGACGCAAATCCTTAAAATGCAGAAATTGGCACACACACAAAAACTCCGACGTCTTACTTATTATGAGTTGTCAGCCAGTATATGTTCGATTGTACTGATCGCAATCCAGCAAGTATTTGGGCATAGGGTGTGACAATGGCTGAGTCGTTGAGAAAGCGCTCCACAGAGGGATGAGTGGCATCTGGCGTGGTCGGACCATTTGGATTGGTGCCGGTTGCAGCATCAGGGTCCATCGTAGAAAACTGTCCTGAGGCTGGTAGGGGTCGTGCAGAACGCACAATGAGGGAGCCCCTGCGAACAGAAATGGGATTATAGCTAGCCATTAGGCGGGCGGAGGCACGACGTGATTTGACGCACAACATGTTGGGATAGGTCCGGTGCGGGTTGGTAATGTCAGTGTTTACACAGTCCTCGGCGTCCATATCCAAGGAGTGATTACGCATTGTGACCGGAGGCGCACTACCCTCGTCAGATGGCATGGTGGAGTAGAGAGCAAAAGTGACAGGAGCCGTCTGCGGTTGCTCATTGCCCGAATCCTGATCATCGGCCTCAGGACTGGCGCAGATCGGCGCCTTGGCCAGTTTGGTCAGATCCCCGTCATTGAGACTTTCTCCAAACTGTGTGCCAGTAGAGTCCCCACTGGGCCTCTTGGTCCCATCGGCGGCCTTGCCAGTCGACTTTCCGCCTCCGCCTGAGTGTTTCTTCCAGGGCCA